AGCTAAATTTTTTTTTTTTTTTTTTTTTTTTTTAAAATCACCCCTTAATTTATTATACCAGTTTCCTTTTGCATGTGAATTAGACGATGCCTTTCATTGTAAATGTAATAGAACTTTAAATTGTTTTGAGGCTTACAAGTCTACGGATGGAATTCTTAGTCAAGATTATGTTCTACATTACCACTAAGTGCATGATAAAAAATCTAAACATGTTTTAGGCCTCATCATTTTTTATATTTGTGGAAAAACTAGCAGTGGTCGTACGACCATCCTTATTGCTTTTCTTTTTCATTGGATATGCAGCTCTTGTGGACTCGTTGGTGTCGAAAACTCGTACATGGGAACAAGATAATGGCATAACATTTGCTTATGACGGTGTTCCACTCCTTGCCATGCTAGATGAGTATGTACTGCTCAGACATGATAGGGAAGAGGAGAAGAAGAGGATGAGGGTAGGTCAAATTTGTCCATGTATGAATAAATACTTGGAGCATGTTTGGCTAAGCATAAAAATTTTGCTTGTGATTAAATAAGCGAGTTTTAAAAATATTGACTCTTTTACTTATTTTTAAGCTTAGCGAACCATGCTCTCATAGCTTATTCTTAAAACAAGAACTCGGTGTCGATAGATTCTGCATCTGGTCTGTTGTGCAGGATCAGAAAAAGTTCCAGGAACAGTTGAGTAAAGAACCAGAACCTGTGTTTGGTTCAACTCCAAGCCCAGCTCGACAGCCAAGTACAAAGAAGGTAGTAGGTCCACGAGCAAATGGGAGTACGAATGGGACTACTAACAGACGACTTTCTCTTAACGCCCATCAAAATGGTTCCAGATCGATTAACAGAGACAGGAAGAGAGACTCCACCCCTGCTGCTCCTGTGAACTATGTTGCCATGTCAAAAGACGACGCAGTGTCTCACATTTCTGCCACAGAGCCTGTTCCAAGTACTCCATAAATATTTGAAACCAGTAGAATAGCTGCTCTTTTCTTTCACGTATCTTCTCGGAAATCTATCGTTGTTTGTTAACTAGAGCAGTTGCTGTAAGAGGATGTACTTGTTCGATAAGAGTAATTTCATTACTAGGGACTGAATTAGCTGTTTGTGTTATATTGGAGTAGCGAGAAGTTCTCGAGTTTCTATG